AGGTTTGTAAGGTATTCATAGCAAATTGTCACTGTGTACAAAAATGTTTATATTAATCTTAGCTGTGTATGTCACACTTTTGAAACGTGACAATTGCTACCTATTTTGTTAATACAGATAACCCTGATAAAGTTGCTTGGCAGAACAAGTTCATTTATCCAATGTTAATAAAATAAACTTTTTATATTTATTGATCTCTAAAATCATATTATCTTCAGTATCGGGATTTTACTGCATCACAAACAACATTGAAGCCCTCCTTTGATTGCATAAAAACAAATCCTGAAACATCACCTGTAGAACATCAAAAAGTTTGTCAACCATGCCATATTCTCACCAGTTTAGGAATGTTTTGGTTATGTAGATCATCATCACCACCATCATCATCATCATACATTCCACGTCAAGCTGTGTAACTTGTTAACTATCCATCTTGTAAATTATATCTATGTAGGAAATCTCTACCAAGAAGAATGCTCATGGTAGTTCGATCCTATGCATCTTCATTAAGAAATTGCATTCTATACAATTGGGCTTTCTATCAGGAAAATGTAGGATTGGAACTTCAATCTGTGTTTATTTCAAAGTAAAAGAAAATCTTGCCAAACGGATAGAATTTTTCATTCTTGTTTTTAGCTGTTATTGCAAGAGTTGTAGAGATAAATAAATCTACAGTTTGTTTTCTGTCAAAAAGACAGCAGATTCCAAATAGCTTTCCAAATACAAGATTGTAATTGCTCATTTTCTATATCTTAACATTGTAAAGTGAATCGAATTGATTGAAAATATTTTATAAAATCTCTGTTGCATCAAGTTTTTTTTTTAATCTTTACTTCAAAAACATTTTATAATGAAGGTGGCTCTATTCAAATATTTAATTCTATAGTGCTATACAGTCCAAGTAAAAATACTTCTATTTAGAATTCAGTGAAGAATTACAATAATGAGGCTCCATAAATATTGCTGCAGTTCAATTACGGTACAATAATTACAAAATATAGAACATCTCTTTACAAATACAAATTATGGTAGATTAGAATTTATTCACAATAATCTCTGCTATATAGTTTTTAACAAACTGTCCTATCTAACTCTACTTTAACCTGGTTGTAAGTGCATTAGTAAAAATGCAAATATTCCAGTGTATTTTGCCCTTGATATGATAGTCATAAAACAGACTATTTTTTAATGATATTTTGCAATGTAAACTGCTGTTACATATGAAAAAAACGCTTTCACCAGTGGATGAAACAATCTCTTGCAAAAAAGAGTTTGATAAAATGTATTAAGGAACTTTTTCAAAAAAAAATAATAAGCAAATTTTAAAATAATATATCTAAGTGGATATGCTGAATGCAGTGGATTTCTGATATGCTTTGTGATCAGAGGTAATGACATCTTTGATTGTCATCACCACAGCCTTCTGAAGACCTTGTTAAAAGTGCCAATCTTTTTTCCACTGAGAATTGTGAACACCCTGGAAGGCAGTAGAACACAATTGGAAGACAACAATCTTTCCACTTGCTCTGTTTTTGTTTTAACACAAACGGGTTAGAATCTTCTTGGTTCTAAAGATCCGCCTTCATTCCCTGATGAGCTCATGACTCTGTAGCAAAGGCCTTAAAGAAATCATTCGAATCCTGATTCATCATACTGGAAACACGTACTAATAAATAAAAGTATGGCTTCCTCACAACATGACAATATCATCACTCATGCAAAACTTGTTTCCTTATTGATTCCAACTAGTGCCTAGCATCATAGAACTATGAGGCACTTCTGTTTGTTTAAAATCAAACATATTTTCCCTCCTCACTAAATACTATAAGGTTGTAATGCATATCATTTCATCAGATAAGTCTTCTTCATATTTTCCAGTATCTGGCTCTTCATCACTAAAGCCAGGACCAAATTCTTGAAGTTCATAATCTTGTCTATTTAAAATAGGGAACATGTCACCATTAGTTCCATTGCTAATGTCTCCATTGAGAAGGTGGCTCGCAGCACTTTCCATCTCATCGATAGTCATGTCACAAGCATCTGCAATCTCATGTTTTGTTGCAGAAACAAACTTTGGGTCCCTTGCATAGTGTCCTAATCCTTCAGATATAAGCACCTGAAAAGGTAACCACATAAACATTGGATTAGCATTATGTTGTCAAAAGCAATGGTGCAGAACAGCAGAAGCTTATAGAGCAAGCCTGGATCTATTGCTGAAGAGATTCTCAAAAGAAGGCAACTAAAGTGGTTATTAGATGAAAGCCTAGAAACCTTCAATATTTTCCAACTCTGTTTTTTTTTTTTAATAATCTAGCAAGGAATTTGATACCACTGATCTCTATTTGCTAGGCAATCAATTACTTGACATAGATCCAAAGGTTATTGATACATGGAAATAGGTGTTCATGCATGTGTAGAATGTATCTGAATGCTCTGAACATTTGCTTTGAACCTCCCACGTCCATTTTTTTTGGCTACACATTTAGAACACAATGTTTAAAAAAGTATATCTTCTATTTTCAGAGCTAAAATTCAAATGACTGCCATCAACTAGGGCATACAGAATTGCCAATAGTAGCCATTTACTTACTAGACAGATTATGTCTTTGTATTTTGAAACTTGAGGACTGGAAAAACTATTATCAAAATGCACAAATGTCATAGGATCATATTTAATGCTTACATATATTATACAGTACAAGCATCAGTGAAATATTAAAGCATTCTCTTTGGGTTAATAAAAACAAACAAATTCAGATCTAAGGTAACTTGGTAAATGACACTATCTTAACCTCTGTACTTCTGGATAAAAATGAAATAGAAGAATAAATCTTCTTTACTCTGTCTGGAAAAGAATATAAGAAAAACCAGTGCATAATTTGAGCTGTGGTGGCACAGTGGTTAGAATGCAGTATTGCAGGCTAATTGTGCTGACTGACAGCTACAAGCAGTTTGGTAGTTTGATCCTGACTGGCTCAAGGTAAATTCAGCCTTCTATCATTCCGAGGTGGGTAAAAAGAGGACTCAGATTGTTGGGGACAATATGCTGACTCTGTAACCCGCTTAGGGCTATAAATGCACTGTGAAGCTATATATAAGTCTAAGGGCTATTTTTCACAATGTAATATGAGAAAACAAAGTATTTATAAAGTCAAATAATACTCCATTTTCAGAGGCTATTTCATGACCGCCTCAGAACAAAGGTCTGAAACACTTACCGCTTCTACCAAACTGTCGGCACTTCTTTGCTTGTCACTATACTTATGCCTAAAATCACTTGGTACAGTCAAATTAGCTGGTGTAAATGTCCGATATGCAATATCAGGGTCATCGGTATACCAGGAGCTCCTATGCAAAGACGGCAAGCTACCATTCATATATTCTGTAGAATCAGGTTGATCAACTTGTATAAGAGGTGTATAATAAAGGACGCGATCCCGGTTAGGTGGTGTAGCCCAGGAACGTGTTGAGCGACTTGGAGAATGCCTATGTACTTTAGTGGCATCCAGACCTGCAACTGCCATGACCTGAGGAAGAGATGAAATGTTCATACCATTCCAAGCTTATAGAGGCAGTGTTTCCTTAAGTATTAGCTGTGAGAAGTCACCAAGCTGCCCCTGCCATTCCAAGTTGCTAGGCTTTTAAAAACTCAAGAGTAATGAAAGGAGGGCAAGGGATAAAGGGACAACAAAATATCTCCCCTCCTTAATGTATTCATACAGGAAACTTTCATTTATTTCTCTTCTCTGGTTCATTAATAAAGCATATTTAAACATGTATTATTAGCAGCTGTTTGTAGATTTGAAAAACTATTTTGGATTTTTGATTAGCATTGGATGTTTCCTGTATTAGGGTACTAGCCTCAAAATCCATTATTTGCTTTTCTGCCCACATGCCCATATGTAACACCATTAATGTGTGCCAGAGACTCTCAAATGAGGTGTCCTAAAATTCTGTTGTTTACCATGGAAGATTAGTTGACTTCTCTCTGCTTTCTTGTTTCATGAGAAATAATGGTAAATTATATTCAGAATTGATTAAGGTTTATATGCACCTTCAATTTAATTATATGAATGTTTATGAATACTGCTTGATACACACAGAAAGACACAGGTATGTAGATACATAATACATTTCCATCACAATATCTATATGTGAGAATTATTCTATCTTTGTTCTCTGACATCTCCAGGATGGGGTTTTAAGTATAATATTTCAAAATATATTTTTGTAACTCAATTAAACTCATCATAAGCAATTTTTAATATGATGGCTTCTTTCCAGATGTTTTTTTAATGGATGTTTGATTTAGGAAAGATAAACAGAATCAGACTGTATCTGCTATTAGTGATTCTGCCCAGATAAAATCTAGCTGGAATACCCAGATTTTTTTCAGGGTTGTTGGTGATGAAATTGTTTTACAACTCGAGTAAAGACCATTTAGTTGCTCAGCTTGTTTCACAGATATCAATACTCAGAACCTGACAAATGTGACAAATAAGGGAAAGTTCTCCTTCTCTTTCTTTGGAGATTTCCCTTATTTTAAAATATGGAAAAAGGGTAACCTATCACCTGATTATTTTTAATACTTCTGATGTAGGGAACCTCAGCTGTCAATTCTAGGCAGCCACTATTCTGTGTCCAACAAAGAGATGGGACCAGGGCCATCTGAGAGTTATGTGCTGACTCTGGAGCTTCCAGAATCTGACATCAGTGAGGGAGAGGACCAGGGGGAGCCTCTTCCCAGTGTATGTGTGGGCAGAGCTGCCAAAAGGCAAGAACAGTTAAGACAAAAGGGGGACTCGGGAGTAAGGCTTGGCCTCTCCCATAAGACATAAAGGAGGAGCAAAGGGACATAAGCCTTTGCAGGAAGCAACTTTGTTCGTTTTGGTTGGTTTAAACTCTGAAGCTCCGTGTTGACTTTGTGCTTCATTTGGACTTGTACAACTAATTGGCAATTTAGTCATTGGCAGCATTTCAAGGGAGATAAAGGTGGGTGCTTATCAGCCTTATCTTGAAAGACTTATCTCTGGCAGACTTCTGTTGGACTATTCATAAACTGTTTGGGACTCATTACGGACTGTGAATGTATATAATTCACAGCTGTTGATATTTTAAAAAAAGTTTTTTGGGAACAGCGTATGATTGTTACTGTCTCAGGAAGCCTTGGTCAGAACAAAGCAGTCTGGTAAGTCCCAATGGCCTTCCTGCACTCATGCCTTGCCACAGCAGACTTGTGTTTGTGCCATCCCTGGCCTTCTTATGCTCATATGTAGCCTGCTCTGGGTCTTGCGAGCCATTCCCTCCAATAGTATCTCCTTCCCACTGCACTCCCATACTCCTTACCTGGAACTCCCACTGCTTCCCATGTATCTTGCTGTCACAATGACAAGCAGGACTGCCAGTATTACCATCATGAAACAATGTGGTGATTTGACCCTGGACTTTTCAACTACATTGCTTAGTGACACTGGTCCCAATTGTTATCCTAACCTAGCTGTATCTGCAAGTTTCAAAACAGAGTTACAAAGTTATGCAGCCAAAGTTAAGCTTTCACTTACCTGCTGTTGCATTAAATGCAGAGGTAAAGCAGTGTGTTGATGAAAGGTAGGGGAGGGTGGTAATTCATCATGACTGCTCTGCCTGCGGAGGCATTCAAAATTAAAGGAAGAGCGGCGATTGGCTGAAATATGAAAAGGTGGAATAGGTTGTTACTGCTTTCTAGAGCTGTCATAGGAGCAGTTGGGTTAATATGTTAAGGTGGAGTTCAAACTGAAGAAGCTTCTTAGATGAGAAGCTAAACTTTTTCAAGGGAAAAAAACCCAAGAAAGTCCAATTGCTTTTTGGAAAGCATATTTGGGACAACCATAACCTTGATGATAAAGACATCCTGACCCTCTGCTTTGCTGCACTGGTGACAAGATGACAGTCCAAGAGGAGCAGAGGCTAAGTTTGTTTTGTTAATACTTGTATGGATGTGTGAGAGATTAATTATTGGTACGAATGGAGTTGTTTACCTTCCAGAAGGCTCTTGATCTGAAGCTCACTCTGTGTTTCCTAGCACTAATTTGTGCTACTGAAATATGGCCATCTTACTACTGTATTTCAGCAGTTTAATTTTGTTCTGGTGGGGGAGCAGCCTTGGAAAGGTTAAGACAAGAGAAGGAAAGAGAATGGTTTGGCTCTCAGAGACTTTTTAGAGCATTCCTATTTCCATCCTTAATTTTGTAGATGGGCAGGCAGATAGAAGAAAGCAAGCAAGATCATGCCATCAGCCATCCAGCCACCAACTTCCAATCTGTGAAGTACTGGAGTATTGGGGAGCACAATGAGATGCTGTATTAATTATTACATCTATTAGAGGTAGAACCTATACAATTATGAAAGCACAAGAAGTAGCTATTTTTTACTTGCCTTCACAGGAACTTCCTTTAACAGGAAGTTTCAACTCTTTATTTGCCCTCACAACTTAGGTTATGAGAAAGTTTCAATTTTTAATCTCACCTTGTAGAAGACAACATCACTACTTCCAGATCTCTATCTAAGACAAATCAGATCATCTTGCTAAAAAGTGTTAATTTCTAAGAAATGCTTGTGTCTTTACTGAAAATCAAAAGTGATATAGGAATGAGTGATGTAAGACTGAGTAAAGTATGGGTCATGTTAAATCGTGGGAATAAGACTCAGGACACCAGCATAGTAACCAGTTGTCTTTACTTCATTCTAGGACTGAGCGCGGAAGAAACTGCGGCAGCCCTTTTACAGTCGGGCTGCTCATGGCTGTGTCCAGTGACAGCTCTTCAATTTTCCCGCCGCCACGGACCGACCAATTGCAGGTAAGTATGTTAATACATAACCACCACCACCACCTGGTCCGGTCCAACCAATCTGGGCCTCGCCTACCATACATAATCACATAGGTAGGCGGGGCTTTTATGGTTTCGACTGAACCTGCGCAGCTCAGTCACGGTTTGGCCTCTGGACTGTTCGGACAGATCTGTTGTTCCTCCCGTCCTTCTTCTTGGAACCTCCTGGAAGGTTGAGTCAGCCATGCCGCTCCCGCCAGGAATTTCCTGGCCGGTTGAGTTGGTTTGGCCACTTCTGCCAGGGGGCACTTTCCCGCTAACCTTCTAGACTTGTTCCTTTCTCCACGATCTGCCTTCTTCCCTGGTCTCAGGTACGTGCTTGCGTTTTCTGACTGGGGCTAATGTTAGTGGTGGTTGTTGTGTGTTTGTAGTTGTTAGGGTTTCTTCTGTTGTTGTTCTTGCTCATGGAGGGTCTCTCCCTCCCTCTCTACTTGTGTTTTGTCTGTTTGAGGGGTCTCCCTCCTCCCCTATGGTTATGTTTGAGGGGGTCAACCCCCTTTTCCGTGGGTCGGTCTGTGTCTCCCCTCATAGCTCTAGATCTGAGGTGGTCTATGTGTCTCTTCCAGCTCCTACTGTCCACGGTGTCTACCCTGTTCAAACAGGGCCCGGTTGTTTGGGTTACCTTCGCTGGTATCCACAATGGTTCCCCCGTAAGGTTTTTTTTGCATATACTGGGTCCCCTGTTTGAAATGTACGGCAGTTACTGGAAGAGTCTGCTGGATTTTCTGGACTATATGGGGTGCAGTCTGTCTGGGTGTGATCTTAGCTTCCTCCCCATTAGTAATTCTGCTGGACTTTTATTTGTTGTGGCACAGGGAGTCATGTGCTGTGTGCTTAGTAGCCTATCTATCTTTTTTGTGTTTCCCCTGGCCCAAGCTTTTGTAATGTTTCCTTTGTGTAACTACCATGCATTCATCGCCAGATGTCCCAGTGTTGTCAGTGCATGCCTTATCCCGTGTTGTGCTAAAAATCCCTTGAACGTTGTTGCCGTGAATTGTGGCTCATTGTCAGATACAATTAAATCTGGCAATCCATGTGCTGCAAAAAGTTTCCTGAGCTGTCTAATGACAGCTTCTGTCGTGGTGGAGTGCATGATGCTTACTTCTAGCAATTTGGAGTAAGCATCTATGACTATTAGAAATGTGTGTCCTTTGGTTGGGCCTGCAAAATCAATGTATAATCTTGACCATGGTCCCCTTGGTGTTTCCCATTCATGTTTTGGTGCTATGAGGGGGTGTTGGCCTAGATTCCTGGCAGCGCTTACACGTTGCCACCAAGTCCCCTATTTCCTTATCCATCCCTGGCCACCATACATAACTCCTTGCCCGGGATTTCAATTTTACAATACCTGGGTCTCCCTCATGTAGCCTTTCTAGTATGCTTTTCCTTAAAACGTCCGGTATGACCACCCAATCCCCCCATAGCACGCACCCCTTCAGCATTGAGAGTTCTGTTTGTTTTGGAATGGTTTGGTGGTGTCATCGATCTCAGTGTCTGGCCATCCTTTTCCTACCCAATTTAAAATTCGCACCAGGGTTTTGTCTCTAGTTGTTTCCCTAGTGATGTCTGTTGCTGTTATGGGTAGGTTTTCTAATGTTTCTAGAGGGTCAATGTGGTTGGTGCTGGGTTGTCTTCTATGTCAGGTAGAGGGCAACGGCTAAGCGCATCAGCATGATTTATGTCCTTTCTGGGTCGGTATGTTAATTTGTAGTTGTAGGCAGCCAAGAATTCTAACCACCGCATCATTAGGGGTGACAGTATGTTAGGTGTAGCTTTGTTTCCTGCAATAATGCCCAGGAGTGGCTTGTGATCTGTGACTAGGGTTAAAGTTCTCCCATAGATATATTCGTGGAACTGCTTGATTCTGATGACAGCAGCCAATGCCTCTTTGTCTAGTTGGTTGTAGTTCCGCTCCAGCTTTGACAGAGTTTTTGAATAGAATGCTATGTGTGCTTCTTTCCCATCTGGTAATATGTGGCTGAGGATAGTGCCGACGCCAAAAGGTGATGCATCATAGATTAGGGTTATTGGGAGTGTTTTGCTGTATTGTATTAGCACATGGTCTGATGTAATCAAGTTTTTTATTTACTGGAGTGCCGTTTCTTCCTGTTGCCCCCAGGCCCAGGTTGCTTTCTTGTCAAGCAACCTGTGTAGTGGTTCCACAACGGTTGCTTTCTGTGGTAGGAATATATTATAAAAGTTCATGAGTCCTAAGAAAGCTTGCAGATCAGTTTTATTTGCGGGTCTGGGAGCTTCCTTGATTGCTCTGACTTTATTTTCTGTGGGGTGGATTCATTCACTGTCTATAAGGTATCCTAGGAATTCAACTTTGCTGGTGGCTAATTGGCACTTCTCCTTTTCTGCTTTTAGTCCCGCCTGAATTTACTTAAGACTTCCCTTAGGCGGTCCTGCAATTGTTCTTTGTCCTTGGCTGATACGAGGACATCGTCAAAGTATGGCACCACCCCTTTTATCCCTTGCAATAGACGTTCCATTAAGCTCTGGAACACCCCTGGGGCGACGCTGACGCCAAACTGTAATCTGTTACATTTGAATGCCTCCCCCCATGCATTATGATTGTATGGGCTTCTGCTGTTTTGGGGTCAACGGGTAATTGTTGGTAGGCCTGTGCGAGGTCTAGTTTCGTGAAGATTTCCCCCCCAAGGGAATGTAATAGATGCTGTACCACTGGGACAGGGTATGCGCTTTGTTGGAGCGTGTGGTTAAGGGTTGCTTTGTAATCTCCGCAGATGTGCACAGACCCATCTGGTTTAATTGGCATAACAATTGGGGTTTCCCACTTTGTGTGGTGGATTGGCTCTAGAACCCCTTGTGTGATGAGTTTATCCAATTGCTCATTGATCTTTGGTTTGAGCACGAAAGGAACCCTCCTTGCATATAACCTTATAGGGACTATGGTTGGGTTTAGATTAAAGGGAATTGGGGACCCCTGGTACTTGCCCAGCTCTCCGTCAAACACGTCTCGGAATTCTTCCATCAGGTCTTCTTCCCAGGTCTTGGTAATACTGTTTTATCCCTGTGACTTCAATTCCCAATGGTGCAAACCATTCAAGTCCCAGTAGGCTTGGTTGATTCTGGTCGACTATGGTTAATGGGAGGACTCTGGTGTATTTTTTGAATGTTACCTTGAATTGCCCGGTGCCCACTACTGGTATTTTGTTTCCCTGGTAGTCTTTCTGCGTCAGTATTTGTCTTTCGAGTCCTTCCTGGTTCATATCTGGTATTAGTCTTTTTATAGTGTCCCATGATACCATTGATAAATATGAGCCGGAATCCACTTCCTTCCGACAAGGTTGGCCCTCTATGGTGACCTGGACATATACTTTCCTGGCATTTGTTGTGTTTGAGTGTCCGATGGTCACCGTCTGGTGCATTTCATCTCTTATGTTGCTCGTCTCTTTTCCTCACCTGTTTTGGTTGTCTTGGTTCCTGTTTGTTTCTCTCTCTCTCGGGGGGGAGGGTGTTCCATCTTTGTCTATGGCCATAGTTTTTTCTGGCTCGGCATGCCCTAGCAATATGTCCCTACTGTTCACAATGTTTGCAGATTGCATCTAGGAAACGGCACTCGGAATGTGGATGGTTCCACTCGCAGTTGGCACAACCAAATTCCTTCCTTTTTCCATTCCGGTCCCTTCTGCCATTTTCTGAATGGAGTTGGTTTACCCTTTCACCTTCCTCTTCATCTTCCCATGTGGACTCGATGTCCTCATGGTGGGTTATGGTGGTGTTTTGGGGGGTTTCTGATGGCACATTCATTTTCCACATGGCGGCCACCAATTTCTGTGTTGCTTCTGCTGTGGTAGCATCTTCTATTGCTTCTTTGAGTATTATTTTGGGTTTTGTTAATAATTGGCCTGGTAGTGTAAGATCTCTCAGTCCCAGGACCACTCGGTCTCTTATGGCCTCATCCATGTTTAGGAACTCGCATGATCCAGTGATGTCCCTCAGAATTGCAATGAAATCGCCGATGGTCTCACCTTCTTTTTGGTCATGCTGATAAAATTCATGTCATTTGATGAGGCAGGAAACGGTTGGTGTGTAGTGAGCCCTCAGTATTCTTTCCAGGTCCGGCCAGGCCATCATTTTCACAACAGTGGGTGCTGCTAACACTTTGGCCATCTTGAATATGGCGGGACTGCAATGTGTAAGGAAGACGGCTCACTTACTGTATTTGGATATGTTATTGAGGTCACTCCCTTCGAGGAACATGAGAAATCAGTCAATGTACGATTCCAAGTCTTCGGTTGCTGGATTTAACGGTGCAGGTGGCGTGTTGTTTCCAGCCATTTCGTCTCAATGAGTTGCCGGTGTTTGTCAGTCGCCATGTGCTCGCTGGTTCCCTTTGTCTCAAGATCCCACCTTCGTCACCAGTGTTAAATTGAGGGAATGAGACTCAGGACACCAGCATAGTAACCAGTCGCCTTTACTTCATTCTAGGACTGAGCGCCAAAGAAACCGTGGCAGCCCTTTTACGGTTGGACTGCTCGTGGCTGTGTCCAGTGATGGCTCTTCAATTTTCCTGCCCCCACGGACCGACCAATTGCAGGTAAGCATGTTAATACACAACAGATCAGGCTTCTATGAAAATCAGATTTCTAATCATTATAGTTTTGCAACATTTGTGTTTCACAAGGATCACTTACATACTTTCCTCTCTCCCCTCCTTTTTCTTAATCTGTAAGGGAGAACTAAAAGTTTTCTCTCAAACTTTGAAGAATGAGCTTTGTGCTCATGTGGTCCCGAGGGTTTCTGGCCTAGAAACCAGGAAGTTGTGAATTGTAGACCCTGCTTAGGAATGAAAGCCATCTGAATGACTTTAGGCCAATCTCTCTCTGTCTCTGTCTCATCCCAACCTTCTTCACAGGGTTATTGTTGTGTCTTAAGCATTATTTTATAAATGTCCATTTGAATAGTGCATTGGTTAGCAGGCTGTGCAGCAATGTGGTAGCATGCTGACGGGAGAATTCTGGGAATTGAAGTCCACACATCTGAAAGTTGCTGAGGTTGGGAAAACCTGCTATAGAACATGCACGAATGTGAATGTAGCACCTGTATCCAGCACTTTTTTAGCAGCTACAATTGTTTTCCAGATAAGGCTTGGCTCCTTATAGATATTGCAGAGAAGTGCCAGTATCACACCATGGCACAGCCTTATATCTTACAATGTTATTTTGTTATTATGAATATGTATTTTTCCCAAGTTAAAATTAATTTCAATATTTATTGTGGGGTTTGTGCATTTTTAGTTATTAAGTTCTCTAATTTTCAAAAAGGCTTCTCGGTCGAGATGTGCTATTTTGTTAAACAAAATTAAATATTAAATTGCAGGCATCTGAATTAATTAAAATATGCATCAACTCTAATTTTGGCTGTTGGAGAAAATTAAGGACATATTTCCAGTAGCGTGGGGAACGGCAACTATTGTAAGCAATCCAAATATAAAGATAAAGTAATCCACAATTATTGATCATGTTGTTATTCTGTGAATGAACTCATTCTGCTATTATAGTTGTGTATGAAATCCAACAGTGGTCCTCAGCTATAAAGGAGACATGAGAAGCTACAAGAAGCACCCCGCCCAAAGAAACCCCCCTCCTAGCTTCCTTTCCCTTGGGTCACTGGGATGTCCCCTTTGTATGACATAAACCAAATAAAGTTGAGATCATAGGCAGAGAATACACATGGGTGTAACAGTAAAGCAAACACATCCATGAAGCCAGCTTTTCTAGTGAACTCACATGTAGGTGTTGGAGGTAGCAGCCGTCTCCTAGGAGATCTTTTGGAATCATAATACACGGGTGAGTCATCTTCCTCAAAAAAACCATGTGGGTGATGATAACCCTTTGGCCGTTCAAAATCTAAATCATTACAGTGATATGTGCTATGGTAGTCATGAGAATGCCTAAAGGTAAAGAAACAGATAATTGGTAGTGATCACCATAGAAAACTGAGGGATCCCAAAATTCTTAACTTGCCTAAAATTATAAAGTCTTCCCCCCACCCCAAAGAAAAACAAAACACTGAAATAATTTTTAAGAAGGAAAAGAGTAATAGTAAATAGCCTCCTCGGTCAGGTTCCAGAATTGCCCACCAATCTGGGTCAGGAATGCACAAACTGAATTTCTAAATCTTGTACTCCAATATATCTGGACAGCATTAAATTGATTTAAAGTGATCAACTCATTTTCCAGCAAATTTATTTTGGAGTTATGTTTATATTTCACAGTCAATTTTCTATTTTTAAATATAAATGAGAGGATCTTAGAGAAGCATAGTGGTGGGGGGAATGCACTCTGGTAAATATTTTGGAGCGGTCTTGCTCTTTTTTCTATCCTGCAATTTTGTAACCAGCACTTGTTGCAAGAACTTCCTTCTCTTTACAAGAAACCTCGGTTCCAAGCATCCTGTTTTTTTAAAGTATAGAACTCCTACAACTCACAGGAGATTTGACAGGCCACTTTTTAAAACAGCACACAAATGGGGAAATTGTATTGATCAGTGATTAATAAGGAAAGAGAGAAAATGGCACTGTTAAGTCTGACGAAAAAAATCTACTGAAGAATATGGATCAGTTAGATCCCAAGCATAACCAAAACATGGGAATTTGGTGGGACATTGATAATTTGGTGAGAATCAAATTACACCATGGTTGCAGCATTTTGTTATTTTGTCCGGCTCTTTCTCTTCTATTCTACTGTATCCAGGTATTGCTATGTCCACGATCCAGAATCTTTTTGGTCTTTCTTATCAATAGTTGTTAAGTTGGGGTGTTATGTGGCAAGTGCTTGTCTGCTTGAATTCTAAAGTCCCAGAGCACTTTAGCTTCTTCATTTTGTACTATTATGTCTATTTTATTCTACCGGTTCTTGCTTGCAGGAAAATCGTATTTCTTGAAGGCACTATTGTTGCTACCTTGTCATACTATTGTTTGTAGTCAATCTTCGTGATCTTCTTGAAGCATCTTACTAGGTGGTCCACTATTTCTTCAGCTTCTTTGCAGAGGTAGCATTTACTGTCTCTTCTTGTCAATTATAGCTTTGTATGCATTTGTTCTTAAGGCCTGGGCTTGTGAAGCCAAAATTAGCTCCTCTATTTCTTTTGTCAACTTTCCTGCTTTTAGTATTGCCAGGTCTTGTTGTTATCAGCTTTGCTTTTTTTTTTTTAATGTACTGGACCTGTAATACTCTGTTTTGTCATGTCTCTTTTCTATTCTTCTATTATCTGTTCACAATGATGTGAAGTCACAGCTGCTAATTATTTTGATGGTGTTTTCCTTCATACACCTCAAGTTCTCCCCAAGAACCTGAGATGTGGTAGTGTATCCAGCATAGTATAAGTATGTGTGGATCCAAGCATTGTGGCCTTTTACAATTGACAGATGGAAATATTATCTAAGGGTGGGTTTTTTTGTGTGTTATTATTATTACGCAAATCTATCATGACTCTGTGCAGCTTACAAAATATAACAGCAAAGGCAATAAAATGCAGCATGGTAAAATTCACACACATTAACTACTGTAAAGCTAAAGCTTATGCTCACATGCATAGAATTTAATGACACTTCTAAGTAGATCTATAAATGAGAAGAGGACTGAATTTCCTCCAGGCCCCCAGATGCTATTTGTTTCATCACGTGGAGGATAATGGAAAGCATTGTTCTTTATATCCTCTTAGAAACAGCAGGTCTTTTAGGGTCCTCCTTTCCCCATCATGCAGAAAGGAACTGTCAGGATCTACTCCTGAATCTTGTCAGTCTTCTGCCTTTCTTTTCAAGGTAGGTAAAGCATGAAACAAACAGCCCTATTGAGGGAGTTCTCTCAGGAGTTCCAGCAGAGGTGAGGAGGAACTGGGGCAGGGGGAGGCAGGAAGAGGTGGGACCCACTCAAGGCATTTACAAACTGAATAAGCTATCCTGAGATGTTACAGAAAGATCTCATCTCTGATGTACAAGAGCTGCTACATTATTTTTTTAATGGAACTGAAACTTACCAGTTTTCTGGCAACATACTGTCTTCTTCATAATACTCATCACCACTAAAATATTCCTGATCATCCAGATAGCAATCATCATTATAATAATCTCTAATTTCATGATCTTGTCGACAAATTGTAGGTATATGTCTGTCACCCGATTCTGACCTACAGTTAGAACAGAGATATATTCTTATCACTTTTTATATAAAAAACACTTATGTAAATCCTCCCCTCTCTATTTTTTCCCAAATCCAATTAGCAAGAACTGAAACAGTACTAAAATAAAAGGATTTAAAAGAACAAAAGTAAGGTTGAAAAAAATACCAAAAACATACTTAGGTTGTCCTCAACTTACAACCACAATTGGGATCAGGATTTCTACTGCTAAGCAAGGCAGTTGCTAAGTGAGTCATTCCCATTTTATGGCGTTTTTGTCAGGTTATTAAACAAATCACTGCAACTGAATCATGTGTCATTAATCCAATCCAGCTTCCTCCATTGATTTTGCTTGTTGGAAGCTGTCTAGGAAGGTTGCGAATGATGATCACGTGATCCTATGAGGCTGCAACTGTTAATACAGGACAGTTACTAAGTGCCCGAATTTTGTCATGTGACTGTGGCAATGCTGTGGCAGTTGTAAGTGTGAGGAATGATTGTGAGACACTTTTTTTCAGTGTCATTGTTATTTCAAATGATCACAAAGTGAATGGTCATAAATTGAGACTACCTGTAGTAAAGGTCAACAGAGCATATAATATAATCAAGTAAACTTTACTACACTTCCTATAGACTGAATGCCTTCCTAAAAGAAAATATTCAACCACTGATAAGGAATAATCAATCAGTGGAACAATTTGCCTCCAGAAGTTGTGGATGCTCCACACTGGAAGTTTTTAAGAAGAGATGTGATAACCATTTTTCTGAAATGGCCTGAGCAGGGGGTTGGACTAGAAGGCCTCCAAGGTCCCTTCCAACTGTTATTCAATAAAATCAGCTTGCATACTTGGCCTCCTCAGGTTGAGGAATTAAAGCACTGAGACATAAGAGAAACCTGTCACAGTGGTACCACTCCTTTCTAACTGAACACCTCATAAAAATGTGGTTAAATCCAGTTCTGGTATTTTGATAAGGTCAATAGCTAGTCTTGTAATTCTAGTCCTAATATTGTGCATCAGGATCCATCCCCAACTACACCCAAGCCAAGCTGTATATACAGCTGTGCAGGACTGCATGGAGATTTTCATGCATATTGCTCAATGTTCATGCTCAGCATATGGGCCAAAGCTATGTTCATATCATACGCTATGCTGATGGACATAGACCTCAGTTTCATGCTTCAGCATCATCTGCAAAGATAATGACTTAAAAAGGCATATATGATTCATTTCAATGAGTTTTATTGAAGCATAAAGTGCTGTTTTCCATATGACCTTATATATACTTACCTAATGTAAGTTTCATAATAACGAGCTCTACTAGAAAAAAAGAATATGGAGAAAAAAATAAAATGAATTTTAATGAAATGATGAGAAAGTAACTGTTATATTGTATTTATCAATGGATACATTTGTATTTACCCAAACTTTCCCACAGGATTTAATTCACAAATTACTATGATGAAAGAAAGGAGCAACAATTTGTCTTAACTGATTTTGGCGTATCCTCTTTAGACCACTTTCTACTGTAATTATTCAACTATTAATGTTGTTGAATTTATCTGATTATATTAATTTGATCAATAAAGAGCTAGTTTGGTCTAGTGGTTGAGGCACCAGGCTAGAAACTGGAGGACCAGGCGTTCTAATCCCTCCTTAGCCTGAAAACCATTGGGTGAATTTGGGCCAACTCACCTCACAGGGTTGCTGTTGAGGTGAAAACAGGAAGGAGGAGTATTAGGTATGTTTGCTGCCTTGTTTATAAAAAATAATAAAGGCAGGATCTAAATAAAATAAATAAGTAAATCACATGGCCCAAAGAATGATAGTAGTTGATTAAAACAAAAAAGCCATACCCTGGTTTGTAAGCTACAACTTAATCACACAGATCAATGGAGTTATGTTAAAATTAAACTACACAATGAATAAATTAGACAATCAAATATAACAGTTCAAGGTGTTTTTAAAAAAGTAACATGAGGATTGGCATTTTCAACCAAATGTAACATTTTAGTTTACATTTATAAAAATATATTGGTATTTACCTCTTTTTGGATGAACGTCTACGTTCCCGGTGATCTTTTCTGGAGTATGATTGGCTCCCACTTTCTGACATGTGTTCATGACTTCCAGTGCTTGCATGTTTTCTGTTTACCATCTTGGACATGTTGGCATTATTGAGGTTAGCATTTGTGGAGTTGGGAACTTGCTTCCCTACTGAATTGTGGTTGTGATGGCTATGATGATTATGGAATAAAGAGTTTCCTGTTGGTGGATGCACATTTTTCTCAGTCGTGTCCACCATACACGAAACCAGTGGCCTTTGCACATGCAGGGGACGATGGGTAGTATTGATCTGTTGAAATGAATCCCTTGTATCAGTGCTAACATGATTGATATGGTTTCCAAACAGGGCACCATTTCTCTGAAATATAAAAAGTGATAATTAATAACATAATATTAATTTCACATGCATATCCTGTGTGGGTTCACTTGGCATCCTCAGATCAGTCATGTTGCCATAATACCACAATCCCCTCTTCTAAATAGTCTTCTGTGTGATATAGGAGCTACCTATGATCATAGCAATTATATCACACTGCAATTGAAAATGTGCCCAGATTCACATGCCTACAATTAACAGCTAAGCAAACTGTATTACCCATCTCTCCCCAAAAGTGTTTGTAAGCTGTATTTTAAAGACCATGGTGCTTGTTATGATTTGTTGTTACAATTATATGATAGTCATTCCACAACTACAGTGACATGACTGACAATCTTGGGAGTTCTGTGATTTTGTTCTCAGACAATGAAGAGAAAGTTATCCTTAATTCCATCTTGCAATTGTGTGGCTCTAGCTGACCATCCATGTACAGAGATATGGCTAAGTATAGTATAGGTGGAACCTGGCTCAATAGTAGTAACTGTGAGAAGGATCTTGGAGTCCTAGTGGACAATCATTTAAATATGAGCCAGCAGTGTGCAGCTGCTGCCAAAAATGCCAACACAGTTCTAGGCTGCATTAACAGAGAGATAGAATCAAGATCACATGAAATGTTAATACCACTTTGTAATGCCTTGGTAAGGCCACACTTGAAATATTGCATCCAGTTTTGGTTGCCACAATGTAAAAAAAAATGTTGAGATTCTAGAAAGAGTGCAGAGAAGAGCAACAAAGATGATTAGGGGAGTGGAGGCTAAAACATATGAAGGATTGCTGGAACTGAGTATGTCTAGGAGTGACATGCTAGTACTGTTCCAATATTTAAGGAGCTGCCACAAAGAAGAGGGAGTCGAGCTATTCTTCAAAGCACCTGAAAGCAGGACAAGATACAATGGATGAAAACCAATCAAAGGATTTTAAGAAGAGATTGGATAACCATTTGTCTGAAATGGTATAGGATCTCCTCCCTGAGCAGGGGGTTGGCCTAGAACAGTGGTTGCCAACCAGTGGGCTGGGGACCACTCGTGGTCCACAAGAAAATTTTGGTGGTCCTCAGAGAAATGCCACCCCCAAAGCAACCCCCCCAAAGCAATTAATTCAGGCTGCGCGGGAACCCAAGGCTGCACCACTCACATGGCCTGTGGGAACACAAGGCTTGCGTCGCTTGCATTGTGAACAACATGAAGTAGTGAGGGTAGGGGGGAAAGGGCGGAGGGGGGAATTTCCCCCCCCCCCATGCACTTGCTTGGCCACCAGGCTGCTTCTTTCTGCTTCTTTCTTCTTCTGTTTTTGGCTGCACACAAGGAAAGCAGCAAGTCTTTCTTTCTCTCCCCCAAACTCTGCCAAAAATGAGCTTTTGGGACTCTACAAGGCATCCTGCTCCAAGAGGCTGTGCCATTCTGGTGGAGTTTGGGGGAGAGAAAAACTTCCTCTATTTCTGCTGCTTTCCTTGCATGAAGCCAAAATTTACTCACTCCCTCTCTTCCTCCCTCCCTCCCTCCCCCTGAGAAAAGAGCTGGAGGCAGTATCCTGTGATCCCAAATAAAGAATGATCTATCGGTAGGAAAACAGGGTGGGGAATTTTCCTGAAGACTTTTTGGGGGATTTTCTCAGGGTCTCTGGTTTGCTGGATTTAAAATTATGAGTTTGGTGGTCCCTGAGGTCCAAAAGGTTGGTGACCCCTGACCTAGAAGACCTCCAAGGTCCCGTCCAACTCTGTTATTCTGTTATATTCTGTTAAGTATCTGACTTCCCCATTAGAATAAATTTTATGAGTTTTTACAAGTGGTTTTACACGTTACCAAGAAATTAAAAGTGAAATTTCTTGGAATCTAATCTAAAGAAGACAGATACAATGATAACTGGCAGGAGGAAACAACCTTGAAGGTCTTAGTCCTGATTGGTTTTAACAGTGATGCTCTATTCTCAGTTAAATGGCGAGAATAATTTCTGTTCAGTTGTCAGAATAGTCCAGCATTTGCAGCTGACTAATAGTTCTAAGGAAGGACAATTTCCAGTGCCCCAAAATCCACTGATTACAACAACTATGGAGATTCTCAGTCATCCAAGTCATGATTATCCCAAAGGTGCTTTGGGTCAACTATGACTGAGAATCTCCACAGACATTTAGGATGAACTTTGGGATGAACACTCAAATGGTGCGGGAGTATGAATGGATTTCCAGAAAAAATGCAGACTACAGGAACCATTTGTGCTTCAGATTGAGATACAAGCACTGAGGACACAGATGCAGGCATCCTGAGGACACAGATAAGCCTCCAAGTGGCCTCAATGACTCTCTGAAAGAATACAAATGACTAACTGTCTGCAAGGAATACAAATCCTTCCATTTCCCACCATCCAGTCAGAGCTGAAGAAGCTACCTGGATGAGAAGTGAAACAGCTTCAAATAAAAACAAGAAAGCCTAGGAAAAAACACCTTTGGGAGATTGATTACAACAGTAGAAACACTATTGATACTGGAAGTTGTTCTTCCCTAGGAATAGAGCAAGGTTATTGGGATGGTCTGCATCTAGCCAAAAACTTCTTTCTTTCTATTCTCATACTCACTCAGACACCCTAAGCAAATATTTCATTCTAGGAATAGGTAAGTAGAATTTGACAGTAGAAATTTTCATAGGAAAATGTTGTCATATGGGGAAGAAGGGGCTTTTAAACTGACATCAGAAGTGGAGTCTTTAAAAAAGAGGGAAATAATTGGAAAAGAGATTTTGACGGAGAGAGGTGTAATGGCTGATAACCAAGATGGAACCAGATAGTGATTGTTGCAGAAAATTGGGCTTGTAAAATTTGTTGTAATATTGGCTTGTGCACCTATATTGCAACTGGTAGTGTTATAGTGCTGAAGTCTTGTTGGATCAAGGATAAATTTGGAGAAGAAGATTATTGCAGAGAGTTGTTGGGTGAGATCCAGATGATTCACTGAAGAATAAAAAAGGATAATGTGCAATGAGACTTTTTCTACCTAATACAGATGTAGAGAAGAGAGATGGAAGTGATCAGCAGCCAGAGCTGAAGGAAGAAGAAAGAATGAACGCAGCCCATGTTCAATCTGTCAGTTCAACATTATAGCTTGAAAATATATGCAGATAAGAGCAAATGTAGGCTACAATTTTGAATACAGAAACAGGTTGTGGTCCATCTTTTTAATCTCAAGATGTTGCAGGCTGGCAGAAGGAAGGAGAACAGAAATGGCCTTTCTCTTAACTTGATAAGAAATGTGGTGAAATCAAAAGTAGTTTGTTTACTTTGATGTGCTTTTTGAATAAATGGTAAAACATCCAAAATAATTTGATGTGCCTGTCTCAAGAACTCACAGAAGCCTTGTGACCGTCATTGGCTTATAAATATCATCATCTCTGCATGATGCTCAGTTGCCATGTGGAAGATGTCATAAGCATGGTAATGGATCGATTTAGCTGGCAGCCCTTTGAGCAAAACAGAACAGAGCATATGCCCAATCTTCTGACACATTTGCAAAGGGAACACTAAAGTTCAGAAGTAGCTTGCCTTTACTAGCTTTGATAGTATGGGGATTATACTGCTTCCGTGTTCCGTATCTATTTCCTTTGTGACATTATTTCCTACTGGTGACCATGACTGGTAACTAAATTCTTCAGTAAAAAAATAGAAGACTGTCTCAAACCTGAGCTTATAATGGGATAACTTGGAAATGAATGGAATGCACTGATTACTTTGTGTGGAAAATTTTTGCATTTGCTTAGGAAAGAAAAAAAGGCTATTTTATAAACTGAAGACATCTATCATACAGCCATTTACTTTATATACTTCTTCCTCCTCATGGTGATTTTGTTCTGGTTCATCCTCTTGCAAATCACAGGAGATAGCTCGGCGAATTTCAGGTCCAATATCATGAAGTGTTCTAAGCCCAGCCTAAATATGTAAAATATAACCAACGTGTATTAGAAATGACAAATATTTTTCTTTTAGATTAACCATTTAAAGGATTTATGCCAAGAGTGTCTTGCAAACAAATAGGACTGGCATGCAACTTAATTGTTTCCATTCCAGTCCAAGAATATGCAAACATTTCCAAATACATATTTCTACTTTTCTGGATTAAAACTCCTTACTTCTAGATTTGTAAACATACCAGAAAAGAGGCAAATCAGAATTTTTCTAGTAAAAAGAGGAGCCTTTTGTTTAGAGCTAGCGTCATATTTTTACTTTAAAAAAAACCTTCAACGAGTAAAAAAAATATGGTCATTGGCATTCTGGCTTTATTTATTTCTCTTTGGGGACAGGGGAGTTTTATAATCAAAATGGTTGTATTAGCTTTGCGCATGTATTACCATTGTGATTTTTACAAAAGGAAAGACAGTAAGCCTACAAAGATAATGCTGCTGAAATATATCCTGACACCAATTTCTAGTGGTATACTCTTATGTTGGATGATTGCATATCGCCCCCACATGACCATCTCTGCTTTTAGTATAGTATAACTAGACTAGCATGGGATCAATCATGGACATTGCATCATGCTAGTAAAATCTAACAACGCAAGCCTTACAAACCAGTATTAATTTTTTTAAAAAATTGGAAGACTTCTCAATTTCAGCGAAGAAATAACATCTCCCACATTAATTTGGAATCCCAAACTGAGAATTTGAGAAAAATATATCAAAGAAGGCAATTTCTGTATTGTACAAGGAAAATTTCATGGATACAGTCACCATATGTAAATTTCAACTTAAGGGAATCCTCACTTGTTTTTTAAACCCACAAATGTATTATACTATGCCTATTCCACTATATGTTTTATTAGGCATTCCAAAACAAAATGTGAAAATGACAGGATGCAAGTGCTTCTCAATTCTACTCTCACTAGCCACATATGTTATGTGTTAGCTGGTACCATCTACAAGACAAGTATAACCCTGTTTGATTCTACTTGATTACACTATTTCATAGGGTTGTCAGAATCTAGGTTTCCAACCAGTTGAAGCATCAAAAATATGATTGTAAACACATTTACAGTCCTCATGGAATTCTTTCTTATAACAGCTCATACATACATGTTCATACCTACTCAACCTGCAAAATAAATTGCTTAGAACTTATGTGATTGCTGAAAAAGTAAATTTTACCCAATTGCTGAATTTTTAGAGGAATTATAAAATATTTTTATAACAGGTTTATCAATAACAGTAAGAAGCAATGATCATAAATGTTTCTTGCATAATAAAATATGATCAAATAATCATACAGCATCAGACCATGCTCCTTATTACAGAGGAAGTCTACAATATAGGAAATGTATTTAAATTTCTGTACTCAATATTTCAGCTTCATGCATAACTTCAAAAATATATCCATCACTTCAAGTTTAACCCTGATTCAATTCTCCCCAGATACATGGGATTTGGCCTTCAACTCCAAATTCATTCTACAAAGGGGGCAGGGAAGACTGGAAATAAACGAATAAACCAATTCTAAAGCAAGAGTCAAAAGTTGGAGAAAAACAATCCAAGCTAAATGAGTTGTAGATTATGCATCCAAAATAGAACCATTTTCAACTTTCAAAGAGTTCATCTTAATTTGATAGCCATAAATACTTTATCAGATCAGGAATGTCTTTCTGGTAGGTTGTTCTGCAACACACAAGATTATAACTTAAAAGTGACATGATAATTCAGTGAAGCTGTGCTTTGGAAATATATTGATACCAACTATTTATGATGACATTAATCATTAATACAGCCACATTCCCCCAGCAAAACTTCTGAAAACACAACTATTGTTTTCCTTTTGAAAAAATAAAATACAAAAATAAATACATTTGTCCTTTTAAATTTCTACAGAGAACTAAATAGCTTTCATAGATAAAATGCATTTCATTATTACCAAGTGCCATGTTTATGTGATATATTGATAATCAGAAACCATATCACACATACAGCTTTACAAGAATTATATTTAAACCCTAATGCAAACAAAGTTATTAGAATGATAAAATCTAAATTTAAGATGTCTGAAATCAGGTTTAATTACTGCCAACTCATTTCTTCCTCTTTCTGCATAAACATTTACATCTAGATAGGTGATGCTGGTTAAGGTACCTACAATAAAAGCTAATTAACTCTCATATTTTTTACATACATATATAGATGACTGAACTTATCTCTACAATAATTTCTAAATAACAGAAAGGATCTACATTGGAAATTGTACTTAATGAATAACAATGAACTTTGAGTTGTCAGGTGTCATGGCTCAACTCAAACAATAATCACAGGGGAAATGCAACTTTCAAAATTTAAATAATAAATCTCATCAAAACATTAATAATCAATAACTGGAGGAAATGCATGTAATATTTAATCCCAATGTCAGTGAATATTCAGGATTCTTCCACTTTCTCATTAAAATAAATGTTGCTTGGTTGACTTTAAAAAAATACTATTGTTTGTAAATTTTGTGAAAACAAACTAGAAACCAATCAACCAATTGCTGATATAAGACCTTACAACAAATAGAAATACCTTAAATAAGAGAATGCTATCCTAATACTTTTGATTTCACTTACCTGGTTTGGTTTATACCATTGAAAAGTTTCTTTACAAAAAATCGCTACTAATAAAATAATGCATAATGCAGTATTAAACCAGTTAAGACACCAGCAATTCTGGACCACAGACACAATCAAAACATTAAAACATGGGGCACCTACACTATAGCAGTGGGTGTAAGAGATGTAGCAGTCAAGTCCAGACTCCACTGTAGCATTCAATTTCACAGAGTCCATCCTATCTCAGTGCCTAGAAGCTGTGTTCCCTTCACATTCCTTACACAAAGAGATCTGTGTTCTATTATTAAACCCTGTTATGCTGAGCTTGATGTGAGCCCAGTATGAACATTGCAGGCCAATGAAGTAAAAGCATAATGACGTACAACCCCATTTGCTTTTAATAACCATTGAAAACCTCTTTGGAATGTCATCATTATATGTTATTACTCTTATGGTAGCTAATTGAAGGTCATAGATACTGCACAAAAATAGCAAAGCTTTGTTAAATAGAATTGCACTCGATATTTTACAAACTGCGATGTCTTTATCATTTATTTTACTCTGCAATCAGCCAGGTGTATTAATTTGTATGCATTTTCTATGGCAGGGTCTATTAATGTACACCTGTCACAAGCACTGCCCATTCATTTATGCACTGCTAAATGCTAATTTGGAAAATGCTATTATGAATGTTTATTACACCAGCTTGCTTTTTAAATAAGATAAGGAACAGAAACAGCTGAGAAAAAATTAATGAGGATAGATAACACTGCAAGCCTAATTTACATCTTTGAAAATATTTTTTCCAACTCAAACATTGGACCACAATTTCCTTTTACCCAGGAAATGGCCTAATTGATTGGGATTGACAGGAACAACATAGCTGATGGCTACCAGGCTAGGAAAACAAATAAATCTATCATTAAATTAAAGCAAAAGATTGTCAAACTTCTTAGCCACAGGATAATTAATTTTGATGTGAAGTTGTGGGTGGTATCACAAAGTGGCTTTATGGCAGCTACAGAACTCCCTCTTTAGGAAAACATGCTGGTGAGAGATCTTTTGACTCTCCCTCAAATGGTGTTTCTAATCTCCAATTTATCATTGCCCTTTCCTAACCAATTCTTCCAAGCAACATCCTGAATTTTGGAAAGTAAAGTGAGGTTACTTAGTAAGTCTTGAGATATCGCTTGCAACTTTCATTTGGACAATGATTAATAGGTTTTTTTTAATTTAATGCACTTCCTGTATGCTCTTTAGATTACAGGTTTTTGTAAATCAGTGGTTTGGAGAGAATCTTGAACAATATATCAAAGATCAAAGATCCTATCAATGTTATTTTTACATTAATTTCTTCTGTATTTTCCTGGCTTCTGTTGAAATGCAGTAATATTTTAAGATGAGTTTCTTCAAAAATACCTTTTCACACTATATACCATTAGGCATCATGAGTATACTGAAGGATATGTTATTACATAAATCATAATAATTCAAGAACACCTCCCCGTATTTCTGGGAATTTCCCCAATTTCTTTCAAGTGCTTTCTTGAGAAAAATCTTCCTACTAGATTAGATCTCTCTGTGTAGATCTGAGTGCTTCTCTTTTCACAGTGGCTGTATTTTTTTGATGGTTCTGTATTTTTAAAATACAAAACAGACAAAACCTAATATAATCTACAAAAAACAAAAGAATTAAACAATAAAAAGTAGAAAGTGCAAAAAAAATAGAAAAAATATAGCAAAGAAAAAGGATGACTTCTCTCTTCATCACAAGTTTAAGCAATTTTAACAACTAATCACTTCTCTTAAAGTACAACAATTTCTTCATCCCTTATTTCATCTCTTACCTAGTCATGCAGTTCTAATCAGGATTACAAGAAGTAACATCTATTTCAATTAAATAAACCCATTTTGATTAAATAAACCATTTTATATTCCTCCCTTTTACTTTTAGCAATCCCTTCAAATGATTTCCTAGAGCTTTTTTTTACTATTTTTGTTGCTTTTCACAAAATCTTTCAGATTTTCAAATCTTTCCTTTATAAATCCAATTTAAGTGAATTATCCAAGTCATTCTTTCTGTTGCTATTTGTATATAGCTGTTAATTATTACATCAGCCAGTTTCACTTGTATGTAGCACCTTTTTCTACATCTTTCTCATAGCGTGTCATTTTAAAATCCATTTTCAGATCAGTCTGTCTTATTTAGTAACTTGTTCCTGTTCTTTAGAATATAGTGTATTTATAAGAGTGCACACTTTTAAGTTTTACTTCTGAGTCCATTGTGCAAAAATATCCTTTATCACATTTTATGTTAAGGTATTTTGCTCCATTCTATGTTAATAAGTTAAGTGTAAATGTTTTT